ACCTATTACTACTACTATTGTGCATCCGCCTTATTTCCCGTCAATATAATTATATACTAAGTCTCTCACTACTATCATAATACACAACATTGTCATGTCTGCAGATCTCTTTGCGGAGTTCGGTATGGGGGCTGCTCCCCCTCCATCCCAGAGAGGTTCAAGCCAGCAGTCCGCCGGGTTCCAGTCGACCTCTTTAATCCCTGACTTGGATGCATTTGAAGAATCTTTCACCGGTCCTTCATCCATCTCGAACAAAAATGCAACGAAATCGCCTCAATTCGACGACAGCTGGGACGACTCAGCTTTCGCGGCGCCTAGTACGTCTGGGCTGACCCAATACGGACCCGGAAATGATGTCTTATTTGATGCCACCCTTGAAAGTGTTCCAGATGATGAAAGCGATGACTGGGGCGAATTCGAGAGTGCGGACGTGCCTGCTACTAAACCACCAGTAAATGCCGGGTTACAGTCTCACAAGGTCATGAAGGAACCTAAGCTCAAGCCTGTTGCAAAACAGCCGGTGCCTTCCGACTTATTAGATTCATTATCATTAAGTGATGATATACCACCGTCCTCTAAGCGGAAGCCCGCTGCGAATCGGATGGTACCTGAAGCACGCAAAAAAGAATTGCCAAGTCTCAAACCGGCTTTTTCTACCCAGGAAGACCCTTTCGAGGATTGGGGCGACTTTGTTGACGGTCCGCCTACAGTTCCCAGTCAAACAGGCACCTCAGGTGCTACAGCCTCAGTAGCCCGGGCGCCTCGCAAGAAAGTGCAGCCCCCGAATTCTACGGTTGGTCCATCAAAAACAACAAGCTCTTTCCCAACGTCTAGTCATCCTACAACAGCCGATCAAGTTCGTCCGACCAATATACCTCCGCCATCTGTTTTGCTTGAGCTATTTCCTCGGTTACTGGATGAACTTCGGCAAGATGCCACCAAAGCAAGAAAGGAAATGCAACAAAAGGAACAACTTGAGAACACTGCAACTCTGATCATCTACACTCTAAAAACTGCCGCGCGGGTTGTTGCCGGCCGAAGCCTACGGTGGAAGCGGGACTCCATACTGAGTCAGAGTATGAGGATTGGCCCTGCTCGTTCAGGGAAGTCGGGAGGTATGAAGCTCAACACAGTGAACAAGAACGAAGATATCAAAGAAAAGCAACAAGCTGTTGATGTACTTTCCATGTGGCGCGACCGGACCGCAATTTTCAACTCCGTTGTTCAAGCCACCAAACGACAACCAGTTCAGGTCATACAGGAGAATACTCGGGTAACCACACTTCCTGCTAGTCAGGGGGCTTTGAAGGCACCCCACGCTTGTGCTCTATGTGGCCTAAAACGAGATGAAAGGCTGCCCAAAGTTGACGAACAAGTCGAGGATAGTTTCGGGGAATGGTGGACGGAGCACTGGGGTCATACCGACTGCAGGCATTTCTGGGAGAGAAACAGGGGTCTACTCGGACAAAGGTAGACAGGACTTCGTACGCGCAATCAGCCGCACAAACGTCAGCTGACATGACGGACCACTTACGGAGTACACCTCCGGCGTTGAGCCAAACGCAGTCCTTAGCCAAGGCTAATAGTAGCTACACGGATGGACTCCTTCAAAAGTACGGAAGCTGCTGCTACCATTGGAGGGACCGGTGTCGTTGTGCTGGAAATGACTGGGTCATTTGCCAGATGTTGGACTTCTGTTGTAAATACTGGGACAAGGGATCTTCTGAACATAAGTATTCTAGCCATAGGACACTAAGTAGATAGAATCAAATGTATCGTGATGAAACATTTCCCGGAACAACCTTGACACGGGGATGCACAATTAGTTTTGACATCAGAAGACAGCTATCAAGCAGGTAGCAGAAGGTTTCAAACGCATGAACGATCAATATGACCTCTTTACCATAAATCCATGATAGATATCGATGGATTTCTCCAGACACAGAAAACATGAGGTACCACAAATGTGGGCGTCGGAGAATATATAACGGGAAAGAGGGGCAAAGCTGACGCGTTGAACTATCTGGAATCGAGACTAATAGACAAGCCTCATCAGCGTGCTATTTGCAGTATATTGACTGACAGAGGGTTAATATTGCTATACTGCATTGTGGGAGTGACTAGAATTCTGTTCTGTTAAGTGGTAGTATACCTCACATTTGATGTGAATGCACCGTGCAAACAGGTAGAGTTTCAGCCCTGTTTTGAACTCGTCAACTGTACTAAAACTATAGCCAGACTAGGGTTGCCAAGAATTCCGACTATCACATCAGGTGCATCTAGGTGAATCTAGCGTGGATTCCAAGTGTCACTAAACAGGTCATATTCTCTCACTGCGTACGGCAGAGACGGTATACTACGGTCAGTCAGTAGGCTGCCATTATCGGCTCAACCAGGCGGGTCGGTGATATCCGCGATAAGGAATGGGTATGGAGATAAAGTAGTCTGACGAAATCACCAGGACTATGCTTAGCCACGGCAACAACAGCAGGGGATGAAGATGAAAAGAAACGAGAGACCGAAGAGACTTTGGAACTAGCCAAGCTTACTCTAGCGGGTGGAGAGTATGATCCTAAAGGGAAATGTAGCGGGCGTCATGGGGCCTGGCTCCCTTTAATCCTGGTCCGATGCGGGGGTTCCCAGCTCCGGGAGCAGCTGCCCGATTACCACCTCCAACTCACCTCCTTCCATCTCACTGCTCAGCCATTTCCTGTGCCACACCATTCCTTTCCCCCCCAATCAGCTCACTCCTACCTATATTCTTACTCTGAATAGTCTAACCTTTTCCTTCGGTTTCTATCCCACTCTGTCGACCCTTCCCGCATCATTATCACCACCTGGCAGTGGCTGACCTGCCGTCTCCTCATTTGTCCTAGTCCCATCTCCGCTTATTCCCGACAAAGACGAGCCGCAGCTGCTTGTCACCCACCCCCTCGAATACCTCCCATTCCCCTTGAGCTCCAGTGCAGTTCACCGGAAGGCTATATTATATTGGGGTTCGAAATCCCAGCACTAACTTCTACCTGTCAAGGCAACCACCATTATCCGTCACAGGGTCCCCATCTTTTTGGAGAACTACCGTACGAGCAACTTCAGCCCCTCTTGCAAAGAAAGCGAAGCAACAGCAGGACTTTGAACACGCCTTGCATCCTTTCTGCTCTCTCTACTCCTATAAAGCGTCGGGCTCTCGTGATCTGGACACCTCCATCCCCTGGTGTATTCGAAGTTCACGTTTCAGGGCGTCTCCTGTTCAGGTGGCTTTGGGAAGACAAGCACGATTAGGACACAATGGGTCTGGCATACAACATCTATCTTACTTCAAACAAAATATTCGGGTGTAAGCAATGCAAAACTCATCTCGCTGACTACGACGATATCATAAGCCGGGTGAGTTGTGATTCTGCTATGACATCTTCCCAACACTTACTAACCACGTATCTTCACCATTATCCAGAATTTCCGCGGCCAGCATGGCAAAGCATACCTCTTCGGCAATGTCGTCAACATCACCTCGTCTGAAGCGGTGGAGCGTAGCATGACCACCGGAAGGCATATTGTCCGTGATATTCACTGCAGGCAGTGCAAGGAGACGGTGGGCTGGAAGTATGACAAAGCATACGAGGCCAGTGAGAAGTATAAAGAGGGGAAATTTATACTGGAAGAAGAATTGCTGTGCGTGGTGTGCTAGGTACCTTGATGTGTGCCGGGGTGTCCATCTTCTTTCCAGGGATATTGATGACGTAGCATGCTGGTTTCACATGCAAGACACCTGGGCGAAGGTCTACAGACTAGACCTGCAAAGGGCTGATACTTATAGTGAGCGTTTTCTTTGTTATATTTGTCGTGGCGCAATGTGTATGGCGTTGGATGGAGTACCGCTTCCTTGATGCGCAAGGAGTTCACCGCAGAACTGGAGCAATCGGTGGACCTGATTTCAATGCATAGCAGAAGCCCAGCTTTCCAGAACACCCCTTGAATGAATCTTTGCTCATGCTGATCCTTCTTGCCGATAGCTTTATAAATGGTACTTACTGCGACCTGAACCGCTAATGCCCATGTCCCCAACTCTGGTCGCGAAGTGGGGACTTTCTCGGCGAGAAATCCGAGCATCGCTTGGAGCACACCGTACAAGAACAGTGCCTATTACTGATCTTACAGACGAATCAAATGGATGTTAGACTGAAAAATTTGCATGGCAAACTATGCAGAGGTTGAATGACGGACATAGGAACCGGAAAATTGGTCCAACTGTAGACTAGATTCGATATGTAACCATGTTATCTCCTCAACATCCCCCCGGATTCCTACTACAAGGACCTCCCTAAATCTATGTAATAAGACATCCCACTAGGCACTAATGATCCAAAGTCCCTCACCTCAAGTCAAGTAAGGACCCAGGTGGAATCCAAACATTGCTACTATCACTATATCATGAGTACTTAAATCCGCGGGGACCCCGGCCGTCAAACAACTAGATACTATCTATGTACTCAGTACCTGTCTCACACCCCACTAATCATCTTCTTTTTCTCTACTTTATACTACTAATCACCTACTTACTACATGAATATAATGCATCACGATTCCATCCTATATATACTATTCCTCTACTCCAACAGTTACCCCTCCCAATGACCCTCTCTCTCTTGACCATGCCAACAGCCAATTCGCCGCGCATCCGCGGTCGCTCACAACTCCGAGGGCGAGGGGATGGACCCACCAACGCCTCCCCTCCGACCTTTCATTTTCCTCTCTCTCATGGGACAAGGAAAACGAAACTGAGGGGCGGGAAAATAAGTGTAATAATCATCTGGCGGGGTGTGTGTGTCCGTTTATCGGATGCGTGAATTCTGAGAATTTTCTTTCTATTTCTTTTCTTTTTTTCTTTCTTTTCCTCTTAAATTAAGAGTCAGCTTTGGAATAATATACATACGACTCAATTCTTCTTCATTTTCATAAAAAATTGGATTCCTCAGCTCTCGGAGAGAAGGTAATCAATTATGTCTGCGGAAAACACTATGCGCGCGGTGGTCTTCCGCGGCCCTTTTAAGGTCGCTGTTGAGGAGCGCCCCGTGCCTCGGATTCAGGATGCGGGGGATATTGTGGTTAAGGTGACTTATACGGCGCTTTGTGGGAGGTTTGTTTCTTTTATTTTATTCTCTTCTTGGAGGGGAGAGGCTGATTGATTGGTACTTTGTAGTGACCTTCATGTGTACCGTGGCATAGAGCCCTCGGGGACAGGCTATGTGATGGGCCATGAAGTTACTGGTGTGGTGGTTGAGACGGGCGATGCTGTGCAGTCTGTCCAGAAGGGGGATAAGGTCGTGAGTGCTTTTACGACGTCCTGGTAGGTGATTTACATCTGTATTTGTCTTTTTTCCCCTCTGCAGGAGGGATTTGGTTTGATGATCGCTGCAGGCGTTTATACTAATGCATGCATGTTGCCTCTTATAGCGGGAAGTGCTACTACTGCAAACAAGGATACTCGTCCCGTTGCGAACAGAACATGCTTCTGGGTTGCGACCATCTGGATGGTGCTCAGGCCGAATATGTGAGTCTATCTTATCTCAACGTACACCATGATGCCCGGAGCATGTATCTAACGGTGATGGAACCTGCGCTCAGATTAGAATCCCCAATGCGGATGGATCGGTGGTCAAAGCCCCTGAGGGCGTCGACGAGAAGTACCTCGTCCTCATGGCGGATATCTTCCCGACTGGCTACTTCGCCGCGCGAAATGCATTCAAGACTTCTACTAAGGAGCAAATCGCAGAGCAGACGGTTGTCCTCATCGGCTGCGGGCCAGTCGGACTCTGTGCGTTGATCAATGCGCTGGAGTACAAGCCTAAGCATTTACTGGCGGTTGACTCCGTTCCTGCGCGTCTGGAACTTGCCAGGGAGCTGGGAGCTGAGCCTTGGAACTTCCAGACTGACCGGGAAGGCCTCGACAAGCGCGTCCTGGAGTTGACGGAGGGACGTGGTGCTGATGCTGTCATTGAGGTGGTGGGATTGAGTCCGGCGCTGAAGACTGGTTATGATCTGCTGCGGCCGTTCGGCACCATTAGCAGTGTTGGTGTGCACAATGGAGAGGTGAGTGATGTTTCGAGTCCTTTGTGAGGTCTGCATATTGATTGGGAATATTGCCAGATCCCGTGGAATGGATGTGAGGCCTATGGAAAGAACCTCACGGTCCAGATGGGCCGGTGCCCTGTGCGGTCCGTTTCGGAAGAGGCGTTGGAAGTTCTGAAGAAGAACCAGCATCGTCTTGGGTATGTCACTCTTTCTTGATAATGATCCTGTGCGAATTTTTGGTGTTTGCAAATGCTGACGAATGCCTGGTAATAGCTTCATGGCCGACAAGATCATGCCCCTGTCGCAGGCGGTTGAGGCGTATGAGATTTTCAACGCCATGAAGGTGCAAAAGGTGATTTTCGAGGCGGATAAATAGAATAGGACTGGCACCTCGCTAGGTTAATGAAGATAAGATGCGCTTGAACCCTTTCCATGACATGCAGTCTGGTCCAAAATGTCCATTGATTATTATGTGGTCGTAGTAATCAAAAATACCAGGCGAGCGTCAGCCACAGCAGTACAACACCAGCATCCCAACTAACGCGACGAGAAGACTAATTGGGGAATTTTCCTGGAGTAGAGGTAAAATAGATAGATCACACACAGCGTGAATGATGACTCTGGATTCGCGCGAGCCAGCAGCGTGGCAGACATGAAAAGACAGCAGGCATAGCCCTTGTTGATTGATTCCCGCACGAGTGAACCGAAAAACGAAACTAAGCCCGAAGGACTGACTGACTGAGTGACTGCTTTCTTTCGCTCCTCTTCCACTCTTCCTCTTCTCTTCTTCTTCTTCCTCCTCTTTTCCTTCTTCCACCTTTTCCTTCTTTGCTCGCTTCCCACCACTTCCTCTCCGCTTCCCATCTCTCCCTCCTCCCTCCCTCCTCATTTCCCTCTGCTTCTTTCTCCCTCTTCTTCCTCTCCATTCTTCCATCCTCCTTTCCTCCTCTTCTTCCTCCCTCCACCTCATCCTCCTCTTTCTCCTTCCCTTCTTCCTTCCGACGTCCCTTCGTCTCCCCTCTCCATCTCCCAAATCCCTCCACCTTTTCCCCCGCCCGCCGAAAACCCCTCTGAATCCCATCCTCTTCGCCCCCTCTCCGGCCACCCAATCGACTTCCTGCTTCCCGTCCTGGATTTCGCAGATTAATCTTCACCTCTTCGGATTTTCATCGTCTTTCTGCTTCACTTTACGACTTTAGGTAAGAGCTTCATGTTCTCCGCTCCAATCCTGCGCGCCACCTCATTTGCCTCTTTCCTTGTGTTATCCCTTTACCGTGACATCTCGCGAAAATCATCACCCCCCCTCCCGTGTGCCAACACTAATTCGTGGGAAAAGTTCCGTCAACGAAAAACCTTACCTTATCTATCCCCAGATTTCTTCTCATCGCCCAAACCTCACCATTCCTCTTTTTACCGACATAATGGACCCTACCGAGTTGCACGATACCACCATGGTCGACGAGACCTCCCCGAACAACGTCGACATGATTGACGATGTCGACATTGAGACGACGCCCAAGACCGAGGAAGAGTACGCTCAGTCTATGCTGACTCTTCGCGCCATCGTTTCGTCCAAGGAAGCCGGCATCATCATCGGCAAGTCTGGCAAGAATGTTGCTGACCTGCGTGACGAAACCGGAGTCAAGGCTGGTGTGAGCAAGGTTGTTCCTGGTGTTCATGACCGCGTCTTGACCGTCACTGGTCCTCTGAACGGCACTGCCAGAGCCTATGCTTTGGTTGCCAAGGGTTTGCTCGAGGGCGCCCCTCAGATGGGCATGGGTGGCATTGTGTCCAACAATGGAACTCACCGTAAGTCATCCAAGTTTTCTTTCTGAACAAACGCTTGCTAGTTACATCAAACTGACTCTTGTGTAGCCGTTCGGCTCTTGATCTCTCACAACCAGATGGGTACCATCATCGGTCGCCAAGGTCTCAAGATCAAGCACATTCAGGATGCATCGGGCGTGCGCATGGTCGCGCAGAAGGAAATGCTCCCCCAGTCGACCGAGCGTATCGTCGAAGTGCAGGGCACCCCCGAGGGTATCGAAAAGGCCGTCTGGGAAATCGGAAAGTGCCTGATTGACGACTGGCAGCGCGGTACCGGTACTATCCTGTACAACCCCGCCGTCCGTGCGTCTGTTGGAACTACCCCTAGCACCAGCACCATGAACCAGAGCGTCGGCAATGGCTACAACAGCCGTCCTTACAACCGCACCGGTAACGGTGCCGACTTCAGCGACCAGTCCGGTGGCTACGGCAGGCGATCCAACCCCGACACCAGCAACCGTGGTTACCCGCTTGTCACCGAAGATGGCGAGGAAATCCAAACACAGAACATCAGCATCCCCGCTGACATGGTTGGCTGCATCATTGGCAGAGGTGGTAGCAAGATCACCGAGATCCGCAGGAGCTCTGGAGCCCGGATCTCCATCGCCAAGGCTCCCCATGACGAGACGGGCGAACGTATGTTCACCATCATGGGTAGCGCTCAGGCGAACGAGAAGGCTCTTTACCTTCTGTACGAGAACCTCGAGGCTGAGAAGACCCGCCGCAGCCAGCTTCAGGAGTAAACGACCAGCACAGCTTCGCCCTCTCTTCACCCGCTCGACCCTCGATGAACATTTTCTCCGAAAAAACTCTAGTCGCGCGATAACCACTGCCCCCTCTTGTGCTACTCCTTTTTGATTCTTGATGCTGTCGTTTTCTCATACTATCATATTCTCTGTTACTCTATAATTCCTCTCGTATGTGGAGCTTCTTGGGCTTTGCAAGAAGCCAGAGCCTGCTGAGGCGGACCATGCATGCCTGTTAGATACCAGTACTATCTCCTTGAATGAACCGCACTCGGAACCAACGACATCATGTCTTCCCACTGATGTTCCTGACTTCTCCCTTCTTGCCCGCCCGTTTCGTTCCGTATCCTACCTAGTCTTGCCTTTCCATCACCGTTGATTGAAAAGTTGCTCTCTTCCTTATTATCCGAAACCTCAAACCTACAATGAAACTGGGATCCGCCCCCCCCACACAACTCGCAATCTTTTCCACATTGTCCCCTACTCGCACTGCCTTTGTTCCGTTCCACTGATCCTCTCTTCTTTTCTTGTCGAGCAACTATCCTCACTTACCTGCCACATGAATCATCTAAACCCAGGGGGGGCTACCCAGCTGTGTTTCCCCATCATTATATGCAAGGGTCCCTTTCAAATTTCATCTCCGGGCTTCTCAGGCATGTACCATCAGGGACCAGGACTATCGATATTACAAAATGAAATGAAAACCTAGTCTGATGGAACATGACCGTTCTTTTTTCCTGTATGCTACTGAGCAGTAGACGTAGATTTATCACTCGTATCTGTGGTATATCAACAACAACAACTACCCACCCTCCTAATAACTAAAAGATAACGTCATCCCACAGAATAAGCAAGATCAGTCACCTGACCAGCACACGCCCCCCGACGATCATCTGATCCCAATTACGTTGCAGCAGAAACTTGAAGAATGTTGAGACCACATGATCATCTGACCTTGACCTCAAACTTGAACCGAACCAAAAATGACCGAGCCCGTCCCGTCGATCATCACCTGACTGCGCTGGCTGGTTGAACTAACTAACTAACTAGTAACTTACAGTACTATGTACGTAGTAAGTTAGTTTTTTAGTACCTAACTAAACCTACCTAGGTAGTAACTAACTAGTTAATAGTTCGATCGATCGATCTACAGGAAATTGTCCGGATGGGGGGGTTTGTGTGTGCCATATTTAGATGCGAGGATGAGTTAGTTGTCTGGTATGTATGTATACGGGGTTTGGGTATTTATTTATTCAGTTTCCACTAAGTGGTAGTATTAGTGGTGGTAATTAGGATGAATTGGTTTCAGTAGGAATGCATATGTTTTCAGTGATGGTGGCAATCGGAGGGATTACTATTTAAATACTAATGATCAACGCATTTTACATATTCGCTTGATAGTCTACATGTATCATCTACATCGTACTTGTGATAAGCTACGCAGGATTGGGAAGCAATAGATGCCAAAATGAGGTCGTATTCATCATGTATTGACAGGAACAGAAGGAAAGTGAAATAAGAAACAAGAAGAATCGTAGGAATAACATACACCCTCTATGAGATCAAAAACAAGGAAAAATGAACAGGTAGTAATGAGAGACAATGAAAGGATGTGTATGTATGTATGTATAGGAAAGAAGACAAGACAAATAATACCACCGAAGCACCAGGTCCAACAACACTCCGTTCATCATTCGGGAGAAATAGGAAAAGTATTAACGCGCGTCATCACCGCAAAGCCAAATATTTGTACATGAATAGATAAAATGGTAGGAAAGATGAACGAGTACCAATGACAGTGAGAAAAGAATAGGTGATGACAAGACAAACAGATCGTGAATCCCGTTACTTGTTGAGCTTGTGCTGTGTCGTAGTCATACCCTCTCTTGGGGTTGACTTTGACTGCAACCAAGAATTTGTATGGATATGTAGAAGGAAAAGAATAGAAACACAATGGTCCGTGAGGGTCGCTTGAACGGAATGATAAGCTCGTACAATGCATTGAGTTGAAGAATGCATGCATGTGTTTTGGTTTGTATTTGCAAGGGTCAGTCAGTCAATCAGGTCTTGAATCGGAAGTCCTCGTTAAAGATGCAGGCGGAAAGCGCTCCGTACACCTCGACATAATGTGTGCCTGGCAGGCCGCGGAATACAATGAAAACAAAGTAACGCCGGCTGAACTGAAAATCGAATACCAAGATTGAGTCGCTGCGTTATAAGGTAGGTGGAGGGCGTAAACGACGTGGAGTTTTTTTCTTGAAGATAAGGGACGCAAACATTCAGTCAACGGGCTGATCGAGACCATTGACGGCCTCATCAGAAACGGCCATCGGCCGCTGCCGAAGACCAAATCGTCGCGCTCCAAGGCTATTCGCGCGCAGGCGGTTCTGCGCAATCGGTGTGTAGCTAGCAGCCAGCTTTTGCGATGGGGCGATGATTCTTGTCTGCGAAGGCTCCTGGCGAGGGGTAGTGGACAAGGCGTCCTCGGTTGGCATCTCACCACCGAGAGCGGCAGAGCCAATACCAGGAGACAGTCCATATCGGCGTGAACCCGCCTGAATGTTAGAGCGGGACGTTGCGGGGACATAGCCAGGCGTTAATATGCTCCGACGGAGCGGGATCGCTGACTGCGAAAGTGTCGGGGTACGAGGTTGAGGGAGCTGCGACGGTTGGGATGGGGTGGAATATCTGACATTTCGCTCAGGACTGGAGTCAGCTATCGATTGCGATGCCGTATATCCATGCGAAATCCGTTGCCGGGGCGAGACACGATATGTTGCTGCTGGGTTGGTGATGTCTGTCATGCTTCTTTGAATTGATCGAGGTTGTGGACTCTGATCCGGCGCATTATCGTCGTCGGTGTGCACCCTCTTGGTCCGCAACGACGTTGAAAGTCGGCTCAATCGTCTCACAGGCGCCGAAGATCCAGGCGACTGTGTCAGTTTGGCATCTGGACCCTGATCGGTGCCCTTGTTGTTGTTGTTTTGGTTGTCTGAAGTCGCGTTGTTCGCCATGCTAGCCCGACGTGCCTCTAAACGGCTAGTGACTCTGCTGTTGCTCTGCCGTCTGGATAGGCTTTCTGGCTCCTGGATTGTGCTTCGGCGAAATGGAGGGGTAGGTGTAATCGTATCGTCGTCATCGTGGCCATTGATTTGTTGTTCATCCGCTTTTACCTCCAGGGCCGTGGACGGCTGCCGGCGAAGCTGATCATCAGATAGTGCGAGACACAGCTCAGTCAAGCTGCGACATACACTGTCAGCCTTGCGCCTAGCTTGTCTGTCTGATGGAAGGTAGCCATTGACAATAGAAACACCGCCCGATGGGGCCTTGTTGGATGACAGTAGGGTAGACAGCGCAAGCGCATCAGTAACAGTGACTTCCAGGGCTGCGTAGACTTCGTTACCCAACACCTCCTTGGACTTGGTCAAGGCCGATTGTAAGAGAGGATGGACCGGACTCGGAGCCGCATTCTGGTCGAGATCGCCTGTTGCTATACTGGATTTGCGGCCGCGCTTCGGTGAGGATGACACCGTAGTAACCGTCGTGGTCGCAGTGCGTGGTCGGTCTCCGGATGCAGATGATATCGCCTCCTGGGATGAGGGCGGAAGCTTGCCCGTTAATTCTAGCTTCTTGATCCGCGATTTTAGATCCTCTAACTCGTCCCAGACAGTAGAAGGTGCGTTAGTCGACAAGGTTGACTCCGTCCCATCCTGACGGGACCGGTCGGGCTCGAAT